CCATCTCTGCGCTCTGATATCCGTCTTCTTGCCATTCTTACTTAAAATGATTTTGTATTACAGAAATTCAGGACTTAAATACGGATTTGATGAACGAGAAAATAGTGCATATTGGTACGTGAAGAAGGGAGCAAGTTGCACTTGGGGAAAAAAACGCGCCTGATTTAAATGTCACACCTGAACGCTCACATCCTTTTAATTATGTTTGAAATTATGAACATTGCTCAACTTCATGAAAATTAAACCTTATTTTCAATAAGCAATCCTGAAAAATATTTGGGGGTGCTTAACTTTTTTCCAGGTGTATATCTCGTGTACATTCAGCCAGTGGTAGTCACAGGTTACTCACCTCTGATCCAGAATCTTTGTTTAGGAACCATCTTCAGCTAAGACAGTTCTATTTTTATAACAGGGTGGTTGGCCATTGGAATGGGTTGCCTTTGGATGTTGTGTTCTTCTGTCTGAATTGCTTCCTTGATGTGCCTCAGTTTACCATAGAATCCAAACTGTCTCTCAGATTGGCTTTTTTCCAAGACTTTGGAAGACTAGATTCAACATGTCCGACACTTATTTATCATCACATCATGTCATTTTCTATGTTTCATCCACGAGGATCATATTTATCAATTCTGTGCTATTCCTTTCAGGCTTGCATTGGCACCTTACACTTTCTGTTGAGTGATCTGGTCATTTGCCTGATTTTTTCCATTCTTGTGGGCTCGATTTTAATCATTTATGGATGATTGGCTCCTTCTGGCTCCAGCCTTCACAGAGCCTTATCTCACACATCAGAGAATCTGATCAGGTGGGTTGGTTTATCAAGGTGGAGAAGACTGTTATCCACCTTACTCAATATCTTGTTTATCTGGGGGTGTTTTTCAACTCAAATTTCAGTCAAGCCCAGCCTTCTCTTCATCTGCAGTCCATAGAGTTTTTAGTTCAGAAGGCAGTATCAGTGCCTTCTCTCTCTCTCTGTATGAGAGGTTCTGTCTCGTTTAGAGACTTGGGCATCACTAGAGGCACTTATTCTGGGCCATGTATACATGTGTTCTTTGCAGTGAGTGCTTTAAGTTCATTGGTACCTCATCAGGGACCCTTTGGATTTAGAGATATACCTTCCTGCTTCCATTCAGTCCAACTTCCTCTAGTGGTTAGACAGGGACAATGCAACAGTGGGGGTACCTATTCCTTCTACCTGTCCAGATGCCTCATTGTCAAGGTGATGTGCATGCTGCACTATACAGGAGATTTTGGGCCATTGATCTCAGGAAAAGTTAGATCTTCACATCAACCTTTTGGTACTCCTTGCTGTTTGTCAGGCAATGGTTCATTCTGTCTTCTCTGTGGAGCAATACAGTTATAATTCATTCCATCAACTCAATGGTTGTCTCTTACATCACCAGTCAAAGGGACACTCAATCCTAGTCCTTATGTTCCTGCACTCTAGATCTCCTCTTCTGGGCTCAAAGCCATCAAATTTATTTACTGGCTTGTCACATACTGGGTGCCTTCAATCTTGTTACTGATTGTTTGACCTGTCCCAACAAGATTCTGCCCATGGAGTGGTCTCTCAACCCCTAGGAATTTTCTATTTTCTCAGTTAGATACTCCCCAACTAGGTGCATATGCCTCTCTTTTGAATGCTGTGTTGGGAGTGGTGCCTGTCCAGGTATACTGATATCCAAATCTGCACAGTAAGATCTGTAAGATCTATTATGCTCTCTGTTGGGATGGAGTGTTCCACAAGACTGCTTGCAGGTTTTTCTTGTGGTATATTGCATCATCAATATGTTTGTACTGGACTGTACACTCATAGACTAACAAGAGTAAAGCAGAAAGATATTGCTGCCCATCTCTAACATTCCTTAGGTTGCTGGAATCATGAACGGTCTGCTTTTCAAAATAGGATTTTGTGGTCACCCATTGCACTTTCTCTGGTGACGTGTTCTTCTGAACTGTCCAACACATTTCTCCCCCCCCCCTCACGAGAATTCTTACCACTTCCCAGCACCTAGTTGCTGGTGTGGTGGATCATGGAGGAATCCTCCTAAGTGTGCATAATTCTACTCGGTTGAGGGTAGGGAGGCGGTGTTCTGCCTGTGTAGAAGGCATGACTATCATCCTGCTGTGGGTCTGATGTTTTATTCTAGATGCCTCCTGGATGACTGATTTTGGTTGAAGCTGAACCAACCAATATAAGTATTCACATGTGAGTGGGCTGGTAACTTCCTCCTACTATGGATTGGATGTTACATCCCCAATGCCAATTGTTTTTGGACTGGAATTGACCTTTTGCCTTGCATTTCCACCTTTCTGACATCACGTGGATGTACGTTCCCCAGGTTTATTGTTTCAAGTTGTGTTAGATTTGCACACATAATGGTTAAGAACCTTCCTCCAGCCAAGGGCTGGTTGAGTTCCTCCTGGTGCCACAGATCTGGACTAGAGTTGACCTCCTGATTATGGTCTGATGTACCCTAGTCACTCCACACTAATTCCTCTTCCTTTTGGATTTGGGATGGATCACTTGTTCTGCCCTTTGATTGTGACGCAACACCAGTTAGCTCCACTTGGGTGAAGAGTATACGTAGTTCAGATGTGTTGCTGTCTCCCATGGGTGTGTTTCCTCTACATAGAGGTGGCACATTCAATGGGTGCTCTTCAGATGTTTTTGAAGGGTGCTCATCTAGGTAATTTTACCCCAATCCCTCCACCTGCGTAATGTGGGATTCTAGCTGTAACTTTGAGAGGAGGTAAGTAATCGTATCGGAAGTTAATATATTCCTACACTGAAAATATATTTCCAATATATACTTACTTTTTCTCATTCTTCCTACCCATCTTCCCATTTCTGGTGGTGCTTCTAATGGTGGAGGGTTGTTGCATGCTTAAATGCAGCTGAACCATGTAGAATTAGGTGGGAGTTCAAAGCTAGTGGCGAGCAAAATTTGTGCACTAGAGTGTAGTCAAATCGAGAATAGCTGTAACTGTGAATGGAAGTAAGTATGTATCAGAAATATATTTTCAGTGTAGGAAAATATTAACTTTGGGAAAGACTCATTAATTAGATATGAAGCATGGCTGGGTAAGAGAAAACAAAAGGTTAGTATTAATGAAGCTCAGTCGAGTAATACTATGCTGTTGTTACCAGTGGAGTTAATCAGTTATCAATGTTTGGACATTTTCTTTATTAAATTAATGACTAATAAAGGCATAATTAGTAAATTATAAAATTTGCTAATGACATTAAACCTGCAGGTAATTTTAGTTGTTTAGGTACTACAGAATTACTTGGATATATTGATAAGTTGGACAAATAGTTAATAAGGGGAGATTAATGCATTTTGGTTATCATAATTTGGATCACACATTAAGTATAGACGAGAAACTACCCAACAGCATGAGTGATGTAAAGGATCTTCGAATATGATACACAAGTCACTCAAAATAGTACTCTATGGCTAGTAATAGACCTAATAGAATTTTAGGATGTATTTGAAAGGATGCTGAGTTGTTGGAAAGGGCATGGAAGGGTTACCTCATTGTGATATGTTAAGGTTTGTTGTTGTTTTTTTCATAAAAGAAGGGTTAGAGGTGATCACATTGAGTTTTTGTCCCAGGAACCACATTACTGATGTTGTGTGGGCACAGCACCTCACTGTTGTAGAAACACAAGCAATTCCAAAGTGGGGGGATCACTGACTGTCTCACTGTATTCAGAAAGAGTACACCTTACTTGAAACATGGTGGAACTGAGTAGTTGCACAGAAAAAAACATTCCTTCCATTACTGTTTCTCAAATCAGATAATAACACTTGCTTCAAATGGTTCATTTCCTAGTTTGCTGACTGCTAACACTTCGGATAACTAAGGAAAGGCCAAAGCCAGATCATCTGCTTCAGTAATAATAATAAAATAACACAATGTGTCAAAAGTAGTTTCTCTAATATCAGACTTCTGACTGTTTTTCTGTTTACTGTGGTTTTTCACTACCTGCTTCAGCCTTTGTTTTTTTTTCATCAACTTTTAATGTGCTAAACTTTTGGACTCTTATAAACTGTTTGTTGGTTTGGGTTGTTTCATAAGTTTGTGAATGTATTGTATCAACAGTGGATTTAACTTGTTTTATAAGCGAGCATGCTTGTAGCAGTTGCAAAAAGCACTGACAATTCTCACAAATATCTTTACAAAATGACTTTATTGGTAAATATAATGTCCTTCAGCTTTCACTGTTTTATTCAATCATTTATTGTTTCTTTCACTCAACACACTTGTGACAAACCTAGAAAAATGTTCTTCCTCTATAGGGTTCTTACTATATCTCTTTTTGCAAGTGTGAATATTTTAAACATCATTTTAGAGTATGTGATGAGTAACCACTTCATTAGTTTGCCCACTGATACAATCTTCATTGGTTTCAAGTGACTACTGCCTGTTCGTACTGTATTTTTTTCTTGAATACACAATTTACACTTTTTAGAGGTGTCATAAAACTAGGATGGCAACACTGTTGTTTCCTTCTGTCAAAAGCTCCCATGGAAGAGGATGAGTATAGTTAGATATCAGTTTCTTTTATAATAAATGCAAATAAAAAGGTAACAAAATCAACATCTTTGACATGTTATGATTAGAATTATAAAAAAATGTTGAACTGTAAAATATGCAGTAAAAAATATATAAGAAATATTGAGGTTAGAGAAATTTTGAGATGATTCCTTGAGAAATAGTGAATCTTGTATATTTTTAAAATATTAGTATATTTTGTGTCGTAGTTTTCCAAAATGTTTAAAATTCAACAAACTTTTGTAACATTTTTATAGTTCATAAACAGTTTTCAGTGTTAGATATTTGCATTTTTAGGACCTTGTGCAGGCAAGACAACAGGACAAACTCGACTGTCAACATTTTTTGAAAATTTAGGCTGGAAAGTGAGTTTCAGAGTTAAAATTGTAATATTTTTGCTTACAACTGAGTTTTGATTAATTGTATAATGTATAAAACAAAATATGTGGTATGTAGACATTGTGTTAAGAGTATTAAAAATATGTTACTTGTACAATTCTATGAAACAATAATAATAATATGTATGTTGAAATAGCAGTTGTATATCAGTGCTTAACATGTAAGTGGTTAGGCAACAACTTCAAAAAATTATAAATAAGTGAATCTGTAGAAAGGTTGCTGGATGTCAAAAAGCATTTCAGAAAATGAAAACTAACACCTCAGTTTTGGCTAATGAAATTGTGAAAATTCTTAACTTTCTGTCAGCTTTTGTAGATTTTGAGTGTAGTTGCCAAAATTGTGAGTTAATTTGCTAATGTAATGTTTAAGTTGTTTTTAAAAGAAAGAAATATGTTTATATACTTGTTGAATAGTTGATATTTCATGGCATTATCAGATTACTCCAAATAATATTATAAAGGTAATTTTTGGCAGCATTAATGGTTGATTGTTTGTTTTAAATAAATAAAACTTAACCTGTAACCAAAAACCCGAGATAATCATTTTCAAATGTGTTATTGTATTTGTAATTAGATTAAAACAGTGATGACAGTACTTAACCCTGTTTGAGTAATAACTTATATAAAAAAAAACATTGCATAGAAGGCATTCAGGCTTCTAATTCTATATTTGATGACTTGGATGAATTTGTGATGATCAAACTAACCTTTAGAAGTTTTGAATAAAATGATGAAATTTGTTATATTTATAAGTATGTATTTATATGTGTGTGCACTTATATAGCATATTCCATACCCCATTAATAAACTAGGCATAATTTAACATCATTTGCATTAACTATTTTTCTAAACTAAGAAACTTTCTAACTTAATAGAACTTCTTGATTTTATTAGGTCGTCAAGAAATTAATGTCGCTTTTGTTTAGATTGAAAAACCCGAACAATTTATATATCAAAACTAAACATTCATTTAATGAAATAGTCTCCATTCTTATCAATGATGCTTTTCCATCTTACAATCAGGTTGTTAATGCTCTGATCAAAGGAATCACTTGGCTTTGAAGCAAAAAACATGACAATGTCCTCTTTAACACCTTCCACATTTGCATGTTTTCCCACTAAGATGGTGTTGCAGCGAATGAAAAAGATGGTAATCTTATGGTTCCATATCTGGTGAATATGGTGGGTGGAGGAGAACTTCCCAACCCAACTCCATAATCTTGTGTTGCATCAAACATGCCACATGTGAGTGTGCATTGTTGTGGAGACGAACACCTTTCCGATGGAAGAGTGAAGGGCGTTTCTGATGAAGGGCTTGATTTAAACGTTCCAGTTGCTGACTATAGATCTCTGCATTGACAGTTTGCTGTGGATTGAGGAGTTTGAAATGAATTTCACTTCTGATGTCCCACCAAATGCAAAGCATCTCTTTCTGCAGATGGAGTCCAAGTTTTGGGGTCAAAAGTGGTTTTTGTCTAGGACTGATCCATTGTTTTTGGTGTTTAATAGTTGCATAGAGAATCCATTTTTTATCACCAGTGACAATTCCGTCCAAAAATGGTTTACGTGTCAGAAGAGACGAAGCAACATTTACATTTTGGAAACGATGATCATCGGAGAGTTTGTGAGGCACCCAAGCACCTTCTTT